TTATTTATTTGGTTTTCTTTCTTAATCCCAATATCAGTAAAGGGGAGCACAATTTGCCACCCCAAAATGTATCTCTTTGGCACATTGTAATTAGAGGTAGGACTTTACATACAGGAAGGTGATCACATTGACTTTGATCCATACTAAAGAGCAAATGACTGATATGCACTCACCTTCCCAAAGCAGGGTTGCTCTCACAGAGAAAATGGGTGCCTACAGGGAGAGAACACAATGGAAGGGAAATTGCAATTTACAAGAAGGTGAATTTTATTCTCATGCTTTTTCTAAAAAGCATGTGTGTGTGTGTTTCTTTTGTTTTGCTCAACTATGGAAAATAAGGAGCAAACACTCTGACCTTTTACTCCTAAGTATTTATTTCAGTATGTATTTCCTAAGAACAAGGACACTCTTCTACATAATCCCAATGCCATTATCATACCTAATGAAATTAACAATAATTCCTTAATGCCATCTAATAGGCAACTATAATCAAATTTCCCCCATTGTCCCAGAAAATGTCTTTTATAGCTTTTTTAAAAAATCTAGGATCAAATCAAAGCACATGCATTGCATTTGGTTGCTATATCTCTCTTTTTTCCCCAGTAACATTGGATAAGTTTAAGGTATACAACATAATGATTTGATATAAGTATATATTGGCAAAAGGATTGCTTGTTGTATTTTTTAAATCTTTTTAAGATAAATCAATAGCTCCCTCGAATTCTTCTAAAATAATGATGTTGACTGGCCTGGCCTGGTGGCTCAATTGGTGGGAGCATCGTCCTGTAGCCTAGGTTGTGGGTTCCATCCCTGGTCAGGATGCCTATGGGAGGCAACCAATTGATGTTTCTCTCTCTCTTTCTCTCTCTCTCTCTCTCTCTCGCTCTCTCTCTCTCTCTCTCTCTCCTCTAAAACTCAATGAAAACATATCCTCAGGTGATGTTTAAATTTTTTTTAAATGATATTGACTTGCTTTAATGAATACAAGTGAGTTATTTTGTAGAATGTGCCAGGATTGGATTTGTCTGTTTCCTCATTAGTTAAATTAAAGTTTAAAAAAATTGGGGACAACAAGTGTCCATCAGTAGATGAGTGGATAAAAAAGATGTGGTACATTTACACAATGGAATACTACTCTACCATAAAAAAAAGAAAATTTTACCCTTTGTGACAACATGGATAGACCTAGAGAACATTATGCTAAGTGAAATAAGCCAGCCAGAGAAAGATAAGTACCATGTGATTTCACTCATATGTGGAATTTAATGAACAAACTGAACTACCAAACAAAATAGAGACAGACTCATAGAGAGCAGGCAGACATCTCTGTTGCAGGGCAGGGAAAGTGGGGTGTTGGGGTGTCTGGAGTGTGATGGCGGGAGGGACAGGAAAGGGGGGAGGTAGAAGCGGGCACAGAGCAGATAAATGGTGATAGAAAAATAAATTAAATTTAAAAATAAATAAAATAAAAATTTTAAAGTTGTGAGCAAGAATACTGTATAGGCAATGTTATGTTCTTCCTATTGCATTGCATCAGGAGGTACAAGATCTTAGATTGTCCCACTATTGATGATGCTCAATTTGATCAGGGCCATTTTATGAATTTCATGGGTCATTGGCACTTTACCTTTATGCGAACCTTTCTTCATAAAATATTAAGAATTATATTTTATAATTGTATTGGCATAGGGATTAATATAATTCATTTTTTCCTTATTTTTCAAAATATATTTTTATTTATTTCAGAGAGGAAAGGAGAGGGAGAGAAAGGTAGAAACATCAATGATAAGAGAGAATCATTGATTAATTGTCTCCTGCACACCCCCTTCTGGGGATTGAGCCCGCAACTTGAAGATGTGCCCTTGACCGGAATTGAACCTGGGACCCTTTAGTCTGCAGGCTGATGCTCTATCCATTGAGCAAAACCAGCTAGTGCTCTTCTGGTTTTAGAAGAAATTAAAACATTTTCCTCAGCTCCTAAAGATGTCATGGGCCCCAGACTTTAAGCTTACTCTGGCTAATGGAGAAGTTCACCCTGGGTTTGACCATTTGATTAAAAGAGATGACCTCCAGACTTCCCCATCATAAAGGTACATTTTCCCTTTTGCAATTAGATAGTAATCTACAGGGAGACTCTTTGAGATTATGTGAATATTGTGTTCCCTAAAATCTCTCCCTTGCTGGTTTCATGATTTTTGCCTGAATCAGTTATTAATTATACTGAAGGTCCAGGGATAAAAATATTGAGGTGCAAAGAGTATGTGATTTGTTCAAGACCATAAAGCTAGTTGGTAGCATCACCATTAAGAATCAGATCTGTGTGGTCCCAAGTTCATATTAGAGCCCATAGGAAACTGGAGTATTTTAAAAAGGAGTAACACAATAAACAACATTGGAGTTATTTGATCTGGAGTGAAGAACAGAAAAGGATGACTGTAATATGTTACATGTTTAAAGATAATGATTTCATGGGTACCCAGGATCATCAAGTTCTCCATTTGGAGAGTAATGGCACAAAGGGAGATAAGATTACATTGCTCCAGCCCGGCCAACATGGCTCAGTAGCTGTGTCGACCTATGAACTAGGAGGTTGCTCTTCAATTCCCAGTCAGGGCACATGCCTGGGTTGTGGGCTCAATCCCTAATGTGGGGCATATAGGAGGCAGCAGATCAGTGATTTTCTCTCATCATTGATATTTCTATCTCTCTCTCTCCCTCTCCCTTCCTCTCCAAAACCAATAAAAATATATTTTTTTAAAAAGATTCCATTGCTCTGGATTATAGTCATTTTATAAGCCAGCTAATAATTGCTTCACATTTCTTCAGAACACATTATTGGTGTTATCCTCAGGAGAAAATAAAGCCAATGTTTAATAGTTTCATCAATTGTTATATTATTATTAGGTATTAAAATTCTAATTTAAAGGTTGACAATTTGTCATTTACCCTAGAGATTCATTTAGTTCATTTGGTTTTCTCTTCACCTCAGTCTTCTCTAGGTAGTGTGCATTAGAATTGTAATGGACATTTAAAAAGGATTCTTGTTCTACAATTCCTACGGACTTCAGAAGGTGATTATGGACAAATAAGGGCTGAAATACTGGATCCTTAAAAATAGACAAACTGCCCATATTTGAATAAAAGACAAACCTTTCTGTGGACAAAGGTTTCCTTCCAACTGTGGGTGTGGGAGCCAGCTACTGCTACTTGCCAAGAATAGCTTTCACACATTAATCTTGTTGCAAAGAACATTTTTGACCTTTTCAATGTTTGCATTTAAAAAATGAAGCACAGATGTTTTCAAAAGTGGGAAACAATTGTCATGAGCCCCAAATTATCACAGGAGTGAATTTGTCACTCTATGGAAGAATAATGCTTACTAAATATGTAAAAGTGGATCTGTTCTCTATCATTTGTGAGGAGTTGAAATAAGAGATGCATCTGCAAGTCACATATTATTGATCAATCAGTAAGTATTTGCTGAACATCTACTTTGAAATAAGTGGTATGCAGGACAAGGGACCTGGAGTATTTTTAGAATTATAGACAGAAGAGAAGAGGAGAAGATATAAGTTTCTGACTTCAAGAAAGTTATGAGAAAGTCAAGTAAAAAAGTCAAGTAGATCCATGGAAATCTAGAAAACAATTCAAGATAGTGCATAGTAAGCATAAAATGAGAAGAGTCAATAATCCTGTCATAAAATTAAACAGGTTAGGAGAAAGAACAGGAATGATTGAGGTGCAGATTGGCTGGCAAAATCTTTATCAAGTTGATACTTATAAGCTGGAATTTGGAAGGGTAGAATTCAGATGAATGGAAACTCTGGGATTGGGCATGAAGAAAAGAGGGATACAGGAAAGGAATGGAGAATTTAGAAACAGGACATAGACTGGTTAAAAGAAATTAAACCAGGGCCCACTTAAGCTTTCAAACTATACTCATGCTCTTCTTAGACAGTTCCTACCCAGTGACTGAACCAGATAGTAACTGATGTCACACTCTTTTTGGGTGGCCAAAAGCGTGTGACCTCAGCTAAGCAAGGTGGTGATACAAAGAGCCTGGCGATTCTATCCAAGATAGGACTCCTTCGTTGGACAATCTTTGCCCCTGAGCTTCCCACTGAACTGGTGTTGGGTAACCAACAGTTTCAATTTACTGGGACTCAGAGATTTTCCAGGATGTAGGACTTTCAGTGCTAAAACTGGGAGATTTTCAGGAAAGCTAAGATGGTTAGTCACCTTGACTGGTGTAGACCTTGTCAGGTCTGTATCAGAGTCTGACAGCTCCCTCTGCCCAATCCTGTTTCCTTCCCTTTTTCCTTTCACAGGTATTACTCCCCAATAAACTCTTTGTCCTCCTGACTTCATCCTAGTGTCTGCTTCAAAGACACTTGATCTAAGACAGGGACACATGTGGCACAGGAACCAGGAAGGACTAAATACTACAAGAGAAGATGAGGCTGAAAGTAGGAGGGCTGGGGAAAGATTACTTTGATAATTATAGGGATGCTCCTGTGTGTAATGTTTTCAGCAGACTATTCATTCTATATACTTTGAAAAAGAATACTGCATTTGAATACTCAAAATGAAGGCTTTGTTAAAAAAAAAAAAAGTGAACCTTCTTGTCCCTGTGTCCTTTAAACATGCTTTGTTATTAATTCTTATAATTTAAGAAGAAAAATGAAAGAAACTTTATCTTTCCTTAGAATTAATCTTAAAATCAAGAGAGAATGTGGGCAGAACATTACTGCTGGAGAAAGGGGAAGGCATCTTTCAGGGCCTGGACTAGAATAAGGTGAGTGAGGTACTTGGGGTGCAACATTAAAGTAGCCACTCACTGTCAGGGTTGTGTACCAAGTGGGCACTTGCATGAACCTGAGAGTAAGCACCTCCTTAGATATTGCACCCAAGCGCCTCATTTGCCTCACCCAAGTCCTGGCCCTAGTATCCATAATAATATTGTGCAACTTACACAGAACATTTCCTCTTTCCTGCCCCAGGTATAAAGCCATCGTCCGGCCAATGGATATCCAGGCCTCTCATGCCCTGATGAAGATCTGCCTCAAAGCCGCATTGATCTGGATCATCTCCATGCTTCTGGCCATTCCAGAAGCTGTGTTTTCTGATCTACATCCTTTCTATGAGGAAAGCACCAATCAGACCTTCATCAGCTGTGCCCCATACCCACACTCTAATGAGCTACATCCCAAAATCCACTCCATGGCTTCCTTTCTGATCTTCTACATCATCCCACTGTCGATTATTTCTGTCTACTACTACTTCATTGCCAAAAATCTGATCCAGAGTGCTTACAATTTGCCTGTGGAAGGGAATATACATGTCAAGAAGCAGGTAGGTGCTTAGGATTGATTAATTTCCTACTTGGAGGTTTGATCCCTTGCATTTCTTTTGGACTCCACTGACAAATACAGTATTGTCATGGTCATGTCACCTGATTCTGCCATTAGAGAAGATGGGTGCTCAAGTTCCCAGATGGTAAATGGAAACTCCTAGCCACAGAAGCCCCAGGAATTCCGGTGCCCTTTATAATCTTGTTGTCTTATTAAAGACCTAAGCTAGGGAAGTGTTGAAAACCAGCAGGATTTGGAGTATGGGTTTCTTTTTGAGAAATATCTGAAAAAGTGTTGTTTTATCATTTAAAAGAATAAAATATTGAGGCTCACAGGAATGTGACTTATTTAAATTCCAATCACATTGTTTGGATAGGAAGAAGATTTCTATGTGGGGGAAAAGCAGAAGGGGCAGGAAAATGAGGCTTATTGAATAAAAAGAAGTAGTTTGATTAAGACAGGCTCACACTGATTTAGGTTCAAATCCAGGTTTTATGACTTATCTGAGCCTCAATTCCTTTATGCATGGCATAGGGTAATAACCTCTATATTGTAAGGCTGTTGGAGGATTGCAAAAGAGAGCATATGTATACCTTAGACTGCCCAGAATTCAGGATGCCCTCTATATATGTTAGACTCCCTTGCCCATCCATGTAAACCCCTATAATTTCATCCTTGAGGTAAGAATTGTAGAAACCAGGGGCTCTCACTTTCTCCTCTTTGTCAGTTCTTGCCTCCCACTCCAAATGTAGATTATGTATTAATGATGGAGAAATGTAAAGATGCCCCATTCATTTCAATGTATAGCTGACTCAGTTGGAGGCTTCACCCTTTATAGTTTCTTTCTGGGGGAGGGGGAGGCCTTAATTGTAAGAGGAGGGTGAGTTCTTTGTGAAACTGTCTCCCTACTTGAAAGACCTCTCAATAGTGAATGTATATTGTATCCCAAATTCTTTAATGAGAAAGATGCTTCCCCTTGCAATAGCAGAGGGAGTAGGGAGCCAAAGGAGATGCTCAGCCCATTTTACTTAAGACCCTTTCTGTATAGTATAGTCCAGAAATGAAATAATAATAATAATAATAATATAGCTAATTATCTTGGTTTGGCCATTGAGGAAGAACAAAGCTAATTGCTTCTTTGAGCATCAGAGGAATTAGAGGGTTTTAACTGTGGAGAAAGACATGAAGTCATATGACTGATAAACTGTACCAGTTCCCTCCTGAGAAGAAGCAGAGCATTTACTAGAATTTCAGTATGCAATCCATTCAAGCATACAATCAACTTTGGTTAAAAATCTGTTCTTAGTGGCACGGTCTAACTGTATTCTACTTCATGGATTTCTGCTTCCTGGCATTTCCATTTCTGTGTTTCTGACTTTCTTCTTTTTCTGTCTGTTTCTGTTGCTTTTCTATCATTTATCTGATTCTCTCTTGTCTCCTTTCTCCTTCTGTCTTTTTTTCTCTCTGAATCTTTTTCTGAAATCCTCCCACACTGTGCCTTGGTCCCTCTGTTGTGTCTGTGTGTGACTCTCTCCTCAGATTGAATCCCGGAAGCGCCTTGCCAAGACAGTGCTAGTGTTTGTGGGCCTCTTTGCCTTCTGCTGGCTCCCCAACCATGTCATCTACCTGTACCGCTCCTACCACTACTCCAAGGTGGACACCTCCATGCTTCACTTTGTCACCAGTATCTGCGCCCGCCTCCTGGCCTTCACCAACTCCTGTGTCAACCCTTTTGCCCTCTACCTGCTGAGCAAGAGTTTTAGGAAGCAGTTCAACACCCAGCTCCTCTGTTGCCAGCCTGGCCTATTAACCCGGTCTCACAGCACCGGCAGAAGTACCACCTGCATGACCTCCCTCAAGAGTACCAACCCCTCTGCAGCCACCTTCAGTCTTATCAATGGAAACATCTGTCATGAGGGGTATGTCTAGACTGACCATTGACCCTGCCCGGCTGGGGCCCCTTGGTTTTGCTCTATGGCTGGTAAAGAACCCTCACATCTGTTTGTTATCTCTGTACCCTCTAAAGACCATTTGTAAGGCTGAGGAGTGATACAGGCAGGTTGGGGAGAGGCCTAAATGGATCTCTGTTATGTTTGAAAGGCCCATCAAGGCGTACCTTTTCCATTTTAATTTGTGAATACTTCTTCTGATGTAGAGCAAACTACCTTTTTTAAGAAAAGATACCAAATAGAAAATTATTATTTTAAACATCAAACCCTGATATACAGGTGTGGCCAATTAAGTCATAGAAACTATATGAAGAACCAAATTTATATAGCAGAGAAATTATACATTGAATGTCCACTCCGTGGAAGACTTCACTTTGTCATTTCTTTAAGCAGGAGCTAGTACTTTAAAACTATGATTTGAGTCATATGTCAGGAATATTTATAATCACAAAGCAAGAAAAAAAATTTTGAGACGAATATGAAAAGTTGGCCCTATGAAAGAGTTCCATATATGAAGGACAGTCCCCAAATTGATAACACTAGATACCGGTTCGAGACAAATCTAAGTGTTGGACATCACTGAGGATATAGGAGAAATACCTAAGGCAAAAACACAACCAAACACATAGACACATATGTAAAGATCCATGTGTGACTGTGGAGTAATATCTCACATTCCGAATTCTAAGTTGAATGAAGTTCTTTTTGTGGTTGCCCAATTATAATCAGTTCCACTATAGAAGAGAAATCCTTTTGGGGTGGGAGGAATTGATCATGCTATCAATTCACCAAACATTATAAGTGCATAAACTATAGTGTTTATTTTTTGGTATATAGGATTTTCAGTCAAATGTACTTACCTAGATTATATCGAAGCGGTAGCTTCATAGGAGAAAAAAGGATCATATCTGAGTGAAAGTAGAAACATGTTTACATTTAACAAGTGATTCACCTGTAGTCTGCAGGAAGAAATTAATACAAGTTCAGTAATATTTATTTCTACCTGAATATGTACAACAAAGTTACAGAGGACTTCTCTTTAAGAACTGATTAAAAACAGCTACATTAGATATATTGTTTCTACTTAAGAGTATTCACAAAACAGCCCATGTGCATAAAAATAGTGGCTTTAAGTATTTTTCTTTTTCTAAGTGAGTAAAATGATTTGACCATCTTACTCTAGAAACCCGAATCAAGTTTTTTTTTTTTTTTGCTGTTTTTTTCGTTTTGTTTTGTTTTGTTGTTTTTATTCAAGGACAGGCCATTTTGACAGATTGCAAACATGCTAATGATAAATCCAAATTCTGCAAATGCGCCCTAATGTATATCCCTTGCATCCCGAGATCATTTTAGTTCTAGTTTTCTCCATCCAGGTGAGACAGAACAATCAGCTCTCTTTTGCACATGACACATATTAAAAGATTTTTGTCTCTTGATACAAGGAAGCCCTCACTGTCTGTGGATCTTTAGAAGTTAGGACCAAGACAGTTGCAAAGATGTGTGTTTACAGTTATATTAGCTGAAGTAAAACTGCTTCACTTCTGTTTGCTGCATGAACTTTTATGCTGGACATGCCTGCTTTTCTGGTAGTCCACAATTACACTGAACAATTTCAAAATCAAGACAGGTAAGTGCAGCTGAAAGAACCAAGATTTTTAGCTTGACATTCCAATTTTGTCTCTAGCTAAATGACCTTAGCTATCAATATCCCTTCTCTAGACTCATTTTTTCATCCCTAGAATGAGAGGATAGTGTTAAGTTCCCTTCTATTGCTAAAAACCTCTGAGTCTCATCATTATTTCTAGTTCTGTGTCTAAAGCATTTATGGAACCCACATGCTCACAGTTTCCCCACTTCTGCTACCCTTGCAACAACTTCTCTTGGCAAATCCTTGAACTGCCACTCCACATTCATGTTCACTTTCATGAAATGAAAGGAGACTCACTGTTTTATAACTTTCAGGGACTCCTTGGAATGATTTGTATGAATGATGTCCCATTAGCTTGTTATGTTTTAGAATTAGAGCTGAATGAGACATAAGAAAACAAATTGCTCAATCTCCTCATTATACAAAGGGTACTCTTCCTATTCCCCCTTCTATATCCATGTGCTTGCTATCTTGAACCACTGCTCTACAATTTTACCCTTGACTTTCTTCAAAACTTTTGAGTGTAAGTGACTTCATTCCTAGGTAGTTGTTAAGGAGGTATATGTAGCATTCTGGGTGCCTAGCATAACTTGTTCAAGCACCTTTGATTTACCTGCTTCCAAAGACTTATCTTAATGTCTCCCTTAGTTACTTATTCTCATGGCATGGATTGTGTCTGTTCTCCGCCCCAGCTTTTGGCCAAACAGTGAGGAGAATGAAGTCTACGTTTAGCTGTGTGTCTTTAGGCAATCTTATAACCTCTTTGAGACTTAAAGGGTTGGAGGAGGCCTTTGCCAGCCAGTGACCTAAGACTGGTAAAACTATTGTATGAATCAACTGCTGGATTGACTCAAAGCTAATTGGGGTGGACTTAATCAGACTCTTCTCTAGGGAAGTCAAATTTTTATTTCACTTCAAGAATTTAAATTAACAGTGAGATAGACCCACACTCTCATGTAATATCACCTCTCTTCTAGGGTGGAGTGTGGCAGAGGCTTGGAACTAAGACATTTCACGCCTGGCTTCCAAAGATAATCACATTTAGCGCTTATGTCGTTGGCAAGGAAAAAAATCAATTTTTTTCTGTGGAAAACCATCTGTGTTTATTCAATTGACAGACACTACCTTTCAATCTATCTTAAATTGAGCCTCCCTGAGGCAGGCAGCTCAATAGTGATAGATTAAGCAATAAACAAAGCAGTCTTCCCACCAATGGCTGCTGCTGGCAAGGAAGGTGCAGCGGCTGGCAGGAGTGATATTCCTCAGTAAGATGATCCTCCCAGCTTGGTGAAGACAAGACTCCTCCCTGTTGTTGATTTGATGATTCCCCGCAAATGGGGATGACTAAACCCTGTTGTTCTGGCTGTGCTCACTCCCCCACTGAACCTGGCCTTCTGCCTCATTAACAAGTCCTGGATTTCCCGCTTTGCCCTATAAACAATTTGGTGTTATCTTGAAGAATGGAGAACACGGAGGTAAATAAACAATTTAGAGGCTGCTCACATGAGCCAAGCTCAGCTTGTTATGAAAGTGCACATTGAACAAAAATAAATGAACTTGTCCCTAGGGCACGGGCACACTACTTAAGTTTTTTGTTTATGCCAAAAGTAGCAGTCAGTTATTGGTTTCAAAGTCGATTCATGCACCAAATGGCTTCCGTAATAGAGATTAGCTTTGTTTGGGGACTACATGTTGAATGACATCCTCAATCTGTGGATTAAAAAATGGCTAAGTCACCTTTCCCAGAAGTTAGATAGAGATGATCACCCTAAGAACCTGACTATATGAGAGTAGAATGAATAGTGTGCACTTGTGTTGTGATGAGTTGGGAGGGATACAAACTTTCTTACCATTTGGGCCCTTCACATCCATACCAGGAGTTAGCCATGGTAGCTTAGAATTAACCCTGGGTTCCTGGGAGGAATAACAGATTTTGCACATTTGTCTAATTTTTGGCTAAATGGGTTACCAGCTGACAATGGGATTATTTACTCTCCTGGGACCAAGCTTTGCATGAGCTATTCAATGAAACCAAGCCCTAAGAAGCTCTACTTTATTTTGTATCTGGATGGTCCTTCCTCTCAGCCCTCACCTGGATGTGTATTCCTCTGGGTATATTCCAGTTGAACATATCTAGAGCAATCAACATATAGCACACCAAGAACAGACTTTTTTCTCTTGTGAAACTTCATGTTAAAAATGCAGTTACTGAAATTTATCTAAATTTTTAAAGAGTTTATCAACCCTGGGTTAAAATATTACGTGTCCACAATTAATTCAGGAAATACTTTGCATTTAACTAGTGTTCATGGCCTATACAGCACTTTTATATTCATTGCCTCATGTAATCCAAGCCTGCCCTGCTAACCAAAGAGCTGCTTTACATCATTGACCATGGAAATTTGCAAATGACATTTACTAGTGACCATCTACTATTAGATTAAAAGGCCTATCAAACTATAAGGCTGAAACATGTGAAACTGCATTTGAACTACATTTGACCTACAAAATGGTGATTTCATATGATTCAACTTAATCTGATTGCATTCATTCTCATGGCTCCTTCTGTGATAGTGAAGAACAGAACTAATCATTGCTTTTCCCAGTTACAGGATAGTCTGTCATCCCCAAAGCAAGTCTATTTAACTTGGCACAAAAGAGTGAACAGTGTCATTGCTGGTTGCCCCAAGAGAGGCATATTAGTTGGAACAGCCTTCTGCGTCACAATGAAGTAGAAGGCTAAGATAAGAAGGGTAGAGTCCGTGGGAGCAAAAACACAAGCTTCAAAACATATGGTATTTGTTTGAAACCGGAATGGAGTTCTGTGGCTCTAGAGATGCTGGAAGAAAGGGGCTCGGTTTCAACAAGCACCAATGACAAGCCAAATGCAATACTAAGCACATTGCTATTCATCCTCACAAGCACCTTGAAGAGTATTCAGATGATGAAGCTGAGGCTCAGGGAGGTTACTTCATGATCTCAAGGTTACATGGCACAGTTGAATGGCAGAGCATTAATGTGGACCTTAAGCCCATTCCGTTACTCAGCATTGCTTCCCAAATCCAGCCCATGTGAGAAGTTAAGTTTACAATACTTAACAGTCCTGTTTCCTACTCTAGATTTTGTCATAAGGCTTGAATTAGTGATAAAATCAGTGAATATATACAAAGGGCATCAAAGATGTTTCTAAGCACTCACTGAAGGCAGAGGCTGAAATGAGGCACGAAGTAGGTGGGCAAAGAAATTCCTTAGCTCAGTTGCCTCCAGAGACAGAATTTAGTGGCAACCAGAAGCCCTGAGAAAAAGTTCCCCCAGTTATGACTAACCCAGGAGAAAAAAAATCTTGTGCAGAGAGAGCACCCAAGTGAGAACAGTCAATCCTTTGAATCAGGATTAGTTGGAGAAAAGAGATCAGGAAGAGGTGGAGACATTCACTCCCCTATTCACCCCCCACCCCCCAAATAGTAAGATATGACAGTGAATGATTTCCCAGAGCCTAGAGACCCAAGCTACCTGAATAGCTTCTAACAGAAAAATCTCTCCTGGTCTAAGGGACCAAGTCATGAGCTCAGGTTTGAGTGCCTAGCCCAGGGGTGGGCAAACTCTGACTCGAGGGCCACAATGGGTTCTTAAACTGGACCGGAGGGCCGGAACAAAAGCATGGATGGAGTGTTGGTGTGAACTAATATAAATTCAAAGTAAACATCATTACATAAAAGGGTACGGTCTTTTTTTTTTTTTTTTAGTTTTATTCATTTCAAACGGGCCGGATCCGGCCCGGGGGCCATAGTTTGCCCACGGCTGGCCTAGCCCAAACTGCCCCATGAAAAACCCAGACACCATCATCTCTCTGCCCTCTCTATATTCATGCTCGATAAGATTATTTTCCTTTTTATTTTTTAATTCCCAGAGCCATATAATGACATGGAAGGACACACATCATTTTATGGTCTTTTATAAGAATCATTTTAATAGACAGTAAAACTTCACACATTCAACACCTCATTAATTCCCAGACAAGCTTGGAAATTTTGGTATAACTCAGAATTTCAGTGCTCAAGGTACATTATATAATTTGGATATGTTGTGAATCCAAGTATTTTCATCACTTTGCTTCATTTTTAGATATTGATATTGACATATCAATATTGATAATGTACAACATTAAGAAGATAAAACTAATTTTCTGTAAAAAAATTTTTTTCTGTAACCTCACTTAACTGATTCAAGCATGACCTTTCTTGCACCCAAGTCAGCAGGGTTATAGGTAATAAAATTTGTTTAAATTATCAATTCATTGAGTTGTAAAAATACATGGCATGAAGTTGTTTAATGTCATGTTCTGTTTTAAATATTAGACCCATATTTTGTAAATTATCGTTGTACT